ATTGTCTTCTGTAAGGGAGAGGTCTGGCCCCCTGTCTATCAGAACTCCCTCCCAGATGGCTCTCTAACCTTGAACTTTTCCAACCACCTCTTTAACCTCCTATGCAGTAAAGTCTTTCCGCAGCCCACCCTATACATACTTCTGTTACAGCACACTTAGCAATACTATTTCCAACTCCATGCTTATATATTTTGCCTTTCTTGATAGACTTGCCGGCAAGTTTTTATTTTCTTTTTTAAATTTTCATATTTATAGATTTATGGGATACAAAAATGCAGATTTATCACATGCATATATTGTGCGGTGGTGAAGCCTGGGCTGTTACTGCACCCTTCACCCCAATAGTGAACATGGTGCCCAAAAGGCAATTTTTCAACCCTCATCCCTCCTCACCCCTCCCACCCTCTGCAGTCTCTAATGTCTGTTGTTCTACTCTGTATGTCCATGTGTATGTCCATTTTCTTTAACAGTCGTAATCTCAGTATCTTGATTCAGGGTTTTCATACATCAGTGCTCAATTAAATTTTGTTGAATTTTTTATTAAATAATAGGCAACTAAATTTTAAATATGAAATACATCTTTTTTATTTTTAAGTCAATTATAATTCCAGCATGAGAACCACATACCTGGCTGTCAAGGAAAACATGGGAAAACCTTTTAAGTTTCTTAGTAGAAGGGTCAGAATTTAGTGGGGTACCCCAGACTGAACCCAGAGTGTCGTGGTTTTTGAAGAGTTGCAAATTCTTTGATACTCCTACCATTGAGATGTGGGGTTTCTGTCTCCTCCCATTGAATCTGGGCAGGATCGTGAGTGCTTTGACCAATAAAGGATGATGGAAATGATGCTGAATGACTTCCAATGCTACTTCATAAAAGGTCCCATAGCTACCACCTGGTTCTCTTGGCACAGTCACTCTGGAGGAAGCCACATACAATGAGAACTTCCTGTTGGAGAGGCCATCTGTAAGTGCTCCACTTGAGAGCCCAGCTGAGCTCCCAGCCAAGAGCCAGTGTGCGCTGCCTGCCAGGTTAGAAAATCTTTGCGGATGTCCAGTTCAGCTAAAATTTCAGTTGGGTGCAGCCAGCATCAGCTGATGTCTGATTACTAGTGCGTGAGACATTCCAGATGCAAACTATTTAGCCGAGTTCTGCCCGGACTCATGACCTACAAAATGGGAAGCAAAATAAAAGGATTGTTTTGAGGCACCCACTTTTGGAGTAATTTATTACATATCAGTCGTAACTGGAATCAACCCAGAGTCAGGATTAGGACTCAGATCCTAACTGTAGTTGCATGCTTCTAGGAAACCTACTCTTCCTTTTTAGATCTCAATTAATCATTTGGTAATTATTAACAGTAATAACTTACATTTTCAAAATACTTCTATCTACCTAGTCACATTTCTAAATTCACAAATAGAATAGCTGTCATTGTTATTGTGCCTGAAACCATGGTCTGAAGTCTCAGAATTAGGCTTCCACAACAGAAGTACTTGAACCCAAGACTTACTATGTATTCTGTGTAAGTCAACGAAACCTCCAACCTAAAAATCTGCATACACCCCTAAATCTGACCCACTTCACCTACAATGAGAATTATCTATTAAATTGATGATCTCTAAAATCTGATCTGGCTCTTTGATTTCCAGACCATATAATCCTTTGATAATGATAATTCCTTTCCATTTCAATCTATGGATGTAAAGGAGGAAGTAATAATGTAAACAAGGCCAGCTAGCAGCTTTTAAAAATGGAGTGTTGCTATAAAGTGTGAATAAGCAAATGGCAGAAAGGAAAGTTAAGCAATGACTTGCTTGATAAATGAAAAGACAAGCAATTATTCAGATGGGAACATCATATAAAATATGTGAGCAAGAGAAAGCAGTAACATTTTTCTGAATTGTTATTTTTATAATGAGAACCATAATGCTTAACACACATTTGCGTACTGTGGACAATGTGCCATCCCAAACCCCTGAGTTGTGAGGATTTTACTGGTACTCTCAATGGATCTTTTCCTTAACAACGAAGTTGGGGGTGGAGTGCTAATTTCTAAATAGACGAAGCTCTTATTGGCATAAATGGATAATGGAACAATAGCTAACGATTTACCATAAATCACTGTTAATATTTGCCATTGCTGTCTGGTGGGTAATTGAATACTCTGAGGACAGATATAGGACTATGGAACTGTAGACTGTGTATCTTGACTCCAATATTGACTTGCTGAATGACAATAGAAAAGCAAGTTAGCTTACACGGGTTGAGAAATGGAAGGATTTCTACAAGGTGAAAGAATAATTCACTTTACATTGTTTATAAAGTTTATAAGGAGATTAATACATTAATACATAGACAAAAAAGAAATACCCAAAAATGATAAATATAGGAAAACAGATTAACTGAATCTCACGCAGAAGTGCTTAAAAACACCTAAAATAGTTGCATCACTAGATTGCTTTCAGCTAACTTGTCTCCTTTGTATTAACCGTTCTCAATCAGCAGCTATGACAAAAGCCTTTTGGTATGTGATTGAAGTTCAGAATATACATGCACTAAGCATGCTATTTTCAATTATTGTCTAAGAATGGATGACTTTTACAATTTATTGCCTTTGTTGTTTAAAAGAACTAAAATATTTCACTTTTACATAAATATTTATAAAAGTTTGTAGATGAGAGGGGTTAGCCTGTCAGGGTTCATAAAATAATTAATAAGCAATTAATTTGTCTACTTATATCTCTTCTTGTTCCAAGAATGATTTAAAGGAGGCATCATGTACATTGTAATTTACAATATATGAATGGCATAAATAAGTAAAATATTGAACATTGTATTTAAGAAAATAGAAATGGAAAAAATTTTTCTTTCAATGATAAAGAATAAATATATTCTGTATCTTTTTCTCTTCCATGTACTACTTTGGACCATTTAGCCCAGAACAACCTCCATAAAGAAAAGTGCATACAAAAGTTGATTTTCAAAAGGATTTTTGTAGAGTGTAACACTGTACTCTTTTTTATTAAATTTTTTTTGCTTTATTTTTTAATTAATGTATCATATTGGCATATTGTATAGTGAGTACAGGATAAACACATTGCTTAGATATTTTAACTCCCATTTCAATATGTGTATGAATCCATTTATATATGCAGAAAGCCATTGACATGCTCATATCATCAAAAACATAAATTTTAATTCTAAATCACGATTTTGTGGACATTAACTTTTGATGAATGTGGGATCTACTTTTTTGAAGTTTCATTGAAAATAAGGGAAAAGGAACAGCATTTTTTGGTAGTAAGTAAAGAATCATCTACTTAATTGACACATTACTATAATGTTACACTTGTCTTTAGCCAATTGACACTGATACAATAGGCATTGATAACTTCTTATATAAACCCAGAAAGTCCTTTACAAAATATCAGTGTATGTTCTATGATAAAATATAAAAGAACATATTAATCAAATGTTTGAGAAGGTTTATGTGGTTTTTTAACTGTGGTAATTTAACCTTAGTCATTTAATACACCAATCTTCACTGTGACCCCTCAGAGTTCCTCAAACTTGTTTTACACAGTGCACACTTTTTTACAGACCTTTATGAGGTCAGTTTTCTGCTGAACACAATTTAGAATAATTTGCTCCAGGCCGCACTTTCTGATGTAAATAATCTCATCCTTCCATCCTGTTACTGTCAAATGAATCCCATCACCTTTTCTCAAAGACTCCAGAGTTTTGCCATCTTGATTTCCTCTCATGATATATAATCAAGTTGAAATGAATTTTTAATCACTTCTTTGTTCTAGAAGTATTTATGAGATGAAAAGTAACCTGAAATTTTAGCATGTTTTGTTGGTAATTGGCAGAGAAACATATCAGAAAACTATATGCTGTATAGTAGATTGTAAAAATCACTTTCCATTTGAGATGAAAAGTGTTTTAAATAAAGAATAAACATTTAATATAATCAAAATGTAATATAATGCATAAGTATAATATGTAAAACCTTAGTTTAAATTAACAATTATGTTAAATTTTAGGGTAGTTAACAGAATCATATAATTCTAGGTAGTTTTAAAGTGTAATAACAGTTCATTGCCATTTTTAAAAAGGATTTCTTTGAAATGATTTCAGTGCACAGCAAAGCACAGATATACATAATTATTTTTTCATTGGCTAAACAAATCTATATATCTTGGTCAGATGAAGAAAGTTGTCTATTTAATGTCCCTTTATATACTTGAAGATTGTTGAACAAAAGTACAATCTTTTTTTATTATTATTATACTTTAAGTTCTAGGGTACAGGTGCACAACGTGCAGGTTTTGCATCCTTTGTAGGGATATGGATGCAGCTGGAAACCATCATTCTCAGCAAACTATCACAAGAACAGAAAAGTACAACCTTTTTAATTTAAATCTTAAGCTTATTCCTTTTTAAAATTTCTGTGGATTAAATGGGAAAATACCAACAAAAACACACATAGATTAGAAACACATAATAGATTTTCTTCCCCAACGAAATACGATTTTTCATCCTCGGCCCTGTAGACTGCTACACGGCGACACGCAGCAACCATAAACGTTTCCTTGACTGGTCCAGTTGTTCTTTGTTTGGCAGATGCTCAAAGTATAGTAAGATCTGGCTACACTTGTTAAAATGTAAATGAAAAATGAATCTATATAGAACAACAGTTGTTAGTAATTAATACACATTCAGATTATTTGGGAATCTTGTTAAAATTCAGATTTGATTAAGTAGATCTAGAGTGGGGTCAGAGAGTCTGTATTTGTAAATCCCAGATGATGATGATGATGATGATGATGATGATACTCCAATGACCATGCTTTGGGTAGTGACAACAGGTCGGCTGTACAACTCAGGGCTCTATCAGTGATCTGCATTGACCTATTCTGTAAATATTATGTAGATTGTTTATTTGTAAATCACAATTCAGAGCAAAGGCCAAAATAACTATTGTCATAAGACAAAATATGAAACAAAAAGACAACGGTCATTTTATTTTAGTCAGCAATCATGTATGGTTATGCTTGTAATCTACTTTGAAATTTGCTTTGTATTCTTCAACATGTGGACTTCACAACGAGCCGTCCGTCTAAAATTACTTCATTGTCTCTTGCCATGTAGTCCAGGCTCTGCTAAAATTCACCCCTGATGTTTCACTGTACAGACAGGGAAGTAAATTATTCTCCCCTACTGTCTATTGCAGGTACATGTTCTTTCATTCAAAGTTGTCTGCCTTTAAAACAGGCCTGCTTGATAACTTCTTCTCGCTCATCTCTTCCACGGTTTGGTTCAGTGTCCGGATACCCGTCATTGTGTTCTGTATTCCTGCAGTCTCTCTTAAATGACTATTTTCCGCTCTTGAATAATTACTGGAAGCTTCCAAGAAAAAATATTACCATTGCCAACATATATTTTTCACTTAGTGTCAACTATGTTTATCTATTCACAATTAATTTTAATACAATATTATTATCCAAGTATAGCAGGGCCTTTTTAAATGACCATCGTGTAATGTTTTAATTCACTGCTTCTGACTGAACATTATTCTGAAAAATAAATGTCAGGCATAATTTGATAACAAAATATTTGCAGATTTTGTGAAGTTGGTGGTTTTAAGTAGATATAACATTTGATTGGCTTAGGATTGTAAACTATGGTTAAATTATAACTCCACTTGTCTAGCTGTGTTCATAGTCTCTCTTCTCTGTCCTTTTTTCATCATAGTTTCTCACTGAAAATACTCACTTATTAAATATACTGATGGAAAATACAACCACTCATCATAGTGGTGCCCTTTTTTTCTAGATGATCATAATTAATCAATTACAAATTTATGAGAGAGAAACACCTGGCACACTTCCATAAACAAATAGATTTCCTGTGGTTTTAAGAACAGCGGAGGGTATTTCAAAGGGTCAGGGTGATCTGTGAGTAAAGCTCTTTTCACAGTTTGACTTCCCCCACATGCCTGTTTCTCATAAATATGCACCTTACACCCAACATACATGTATGTAATTACTTATCAGCAAGCGCATGTTGCGAAGGCTACAGAGAAACAAGGAACGTAAAGGAGAGAGAGAAGAATTGAACTTAAAAACATATGCGTATTGAAAACATTGTCTTTTTAAAAATATATTTCTCAAAGGACCATAAGTCTAAACCAAAGAACATGAAAAGTGGAAGTTTTATGAGTAACAAAGATACAGCTCAGTGCCTCCAACTGAGGTGATTTTATCCTACAAGTTAGTGGCGGCCATCAGTGTTGGATCCAAGGCACTGATGAAGCAGGATGCTGCGATCCTTCCTTCAGCTGCTCTTCCAGACCTACTTTCTCACCTTTGACTACACTTTTGTGGAAGAATCTACCGGTATGTCTTCGCATTTGAGAGGGAAATATACTAAATTTATGATACTGAGATGTTTTCTAACTTTGCATATCTATATATTTTTACCTCACCTTCATTAAATGCAGTTTTCTTTTAAAAGCCAGGGTTCGTGACAGTTGCTACCCAATATTCAAAAGACTGTGCCGTTAAGTACGGTGGCTACTACCCGTATGTACAACTTGAGATGTGCTATTAGTTTGAAACATAACCAGATTTTCAGGACTGAGGACACAAAAAAAGAGTATAAAACATGCCACCGATGATTTTCTTACATTGATTACGTGCTGAAATGGTATTCTGACTACATTGGGATTATGCAAGACCTATTGTTAAAATTAATTTCACTTGTTCTTTTTTGTCCTTTTAAATACGGCTACTGGCAAACTTAAAATTACATCTGTGACTCACGTGATACCTATTTTGAACAGCACTACTATAAGGGTTTGATTTTTCTTCCTATGTTTTAAATTCTGTAATGAATAATATTATTTTCTCATTTTGATGTCTTTATTCCTAATCAGTCAGAATCTTAAAACAACTCCTCAAAAATCTGACCTAAAAAAACGGAAAAGAATGGTCTTTTGCCCCAAACCATATGTTTAAGTCAAACTTAAAGCTAATGTCTGTTCTTTTAAAGTATTTGAGTATCATAAACTGTTAAATTTAAGTAATTGAGTTTTCATGACTGGTGTTACACAGTAATCAATAATATTATGCAAAATAAAAATACGATTTTTATAAATATTTTAAAATTTGCTTTTAGTTTAAAACTCAGGGGAAAATACTATAAAAATCTAGACTAATGAGGAAACATCTACTGTTTTTGAAAGTTAAGGAATTTAACTACGTATTTCATAGCTTATGCATTTTCAATGGTTTATAAAATGCTTGGCATAACATACTGAGTACCAATTTTTACTTTCTCTTGAATTTTTTTAATGCTAATTTTAAAATTACAGTATGGAAATGTTGAAGGTACAAATATTATTGTTGCTACCAACATAATAATGCACGTACTAATCAAAATAGCATTCAGGTTTTTTCCAACATTATTTAGGAATCAGAACCTGGTAAGTCTGTGCTGAGTCTTTTCAGGGCTGTTGAGTGTTTGGGATGGGAAAAGAGCCCTACAGCACGTGGGCTTTGTTCGTAAAACAGTCCTGGTCATTTACAAAATACAGGACATCTAATTAAATGTGAAGTTTGGATACTGCAAGGGACACACACTAAAAAAAAAAAAAGTCCTGGTCTATGATTTTAGATTATATTTTTAGTCCATGATTTCAGATTATATTTTTAAGGGTTTCTTGTATTTAACTTACAATATTGTTCTCCAGAATCATAGTGGTATCTCGGAGGTACTTTGCAGAAAAACAGGGTGCTTTCTCAATATTTTTTTAAAAATTAGTCACTAAATAATCATGAACAGTAAGAAGAAAAAATATATATATACAAATTTATATGTATATATATGCATCTATGTGTATTCATATGCACACACAAACACATATATATATCTTTTAAAAACACCTACTAGGTAAAATTTTCCATGATTATTGCTCTTCTTTCCCTACCCCTGACATTATACCTTGGGTTTTTTATTCTTTTTATTTTTTTTTAATTTGAAAATCCATGTCAAGAAATGGAACTGGATTTTTTTATACATTTGAATTTTTATTCAGATTTATTTTAAGTTTACTTTGTTATTACTGGATCCATTGAGCTAGCAAAGCAGTGAAGTGAGCATACGTGGCCACTGCACTGCAATTTACTGCCTTTTAAGGGGTGCTGTAATCATCATGTCGTGGTCATTTGCCAGAGTGGACTATTACTAAATCATGTGGATGATTCGTACCAGCTCCAGAGGATTCAATCGTTTTTCATTTTCATTAGTGGGAATCTATGTCCTTCACAATCAATGATTTATATTTAAGTCAACAACTGAAACAAAGAAATTTGAATTAGAGCAGTAATGGAATGAGGGTGAAATTTTTCTGTGTGCACCTTCTGTTTTATCATAGTGTGTTAAAATCTTTGGCATAGATGGAAATTCTAAAGTACTATGATGACAGTCTTCAATTCTGATAAAAAGCATTATAAATAGTATAACCAATGGAAAGTTAAAGGCAAAACGAGATTTCAAAGAAAACACAAATGGTAAGAAGTCACACATGTACTTGAGAGGCGTGCATTGTTTCCATGTAAAGAGAAGTGCAATCTAATGAATGAATTGTCATAGTCAAAGCCTCTTAATCAATAATAAAATGCAGCATTTAGTCACAACAGGATTAAATCTGTCATGAAGATTTCTTTTGTTGTAAGGTGACTATTTTTTTCTTTAAAAAGTTTAAAGTCATATTATATTAATGAACGGATATATTTATTCTGCTTTTTTTCATGAGAAATTGAATTGTGACTTCATGAAGGATTTTTTTTTTCTTGAAAACTTCTAAGACTGGTCAGTCATATTCGACAGATATGTTTTATTCTTTCCTCACATACATTAGCCTTGCTTTGTGCCTAATGACAAGAATTCCATATATATGTGTGTGTGTGTGTGTGTGTGTGTGTGTGTGTGTGTGTTTGTATATACACCCTTTACCTTCCTTTCTGCCTGGGTCTTTACTGCTTCTTCTTTAACATATGTCATTCTTGAGTCATTATTTGGATCTCATTATTTGTGAAGAGCTTCAAAATTAAGGGTCTTAGTTTTTTACAATATTAATTTTTTTTTTTTTTACTTTTGCAGCATAGTAAAACATCTGTGAAATAAACTTCAGTACATTCTCAAAGAGAGAGACTAATATATCTAATAAAACATACCTTACCAGAGGAAGTGAGAAAGAATCTTATATTCCTATATCATATATAGTTACATTTTTAGACCACTGAGATCAAATTTGGACCCTCTGATTAGATAGAGATATCTTACGAGCAATCAAAAAAAGAATGAGAAAAATCCTTGCATAATGGCCCTGGGAAGAATACAAAGAAACTGGATTTATCTTTTCTCTAAAAAAGTCAGAGGTGGGGACCATAATAACATGAGCCATAAATTACCATTTAAGGAACTGGAGCTGTGAAATTTGCTCCACTGGATATTTGTTATGGAAAGTATGGACAAATATTGACTTTTTTCCTAGACTGGTACAAACATGCTCCTTTTAAGAAGCAAGTGGATGATGATGTTGTTATTTCTGTGGGGCTTCAAGTCCTTGAATAATTGAGCAAGCAGTAAATATGTTCAGATGCTAAACCATAAACACAATTAAGATTCTCTCTTCTTTGAAATGAATGTACCTTCACCCAATGAGTATGTTAAATGAATTATACTGTAATTCTGGAATTCATGAGTTGATTGTGTATTTCTAATGTATTTTGTGAATCATTAAAAATACCAAGCTAACTCTGAAACTCTAATTTGCAAGATATGATTCTCTGGTCCTGGCATAACAACAAATTTATTATATTTTCTGCATTTACATGCAAAAATGATTTTATAATCATAGAATATCAGACTTGGGGGAAGATCCCATCTGGTAACTTTCTTCTTATTTGATTGAAAGAAAGGTCATCTTTATAGAAATAATTTTGTAACTTAGTCTAATTCATAGTAAATCTTAGTTTAAATCTTTCTATTTTCTGGTGACTCATGTTGTTAAAAGGAAAAACCTGATGGAAAGCATGATTTGTATTAATTCCCTTAAATTAGTGAATGTTGCTCCTCAAACAGGCAAGCTATAAAACTGCCAGAGATCTTCAGTTGGTGAGGATAAGGGCAAGAAGGTGGAAGATCAAGACTAGAGACAAATAGGAAGCACCCTCTATCTAGTTTATGGGCTGTAATTATTGTCATTTGAAAGAAATCTATGTTTTTAAAAGGCAGTATTTTCTGTGGCTGTTTGAATTTTTTATTTTTTGCCTTCAATTAGAAATGGGAGAAGCTTGGAACTTAGAATATCCTCTTCTTTTTTCCTGAGAGGTAGTAATTGTAAACATTGTTTCATCTATTATGGGTCAAAGACTTTAAAAATAGTGGAAAATAGTTTGGATGCAAAGCTGGCACGAAGGCTCAAAATACACAAGAGAATGTGATTCATCCGAAGGAGTTTTGGGATTAATTGGATGTGCTTTGGTCTAGCTACATGATCGAGATTAAATTTATAAACAAATGCAATTGATATAAAAATGTATACAGTAAAGCTACAAAATGACCAAATAGTTTCTAAAAACTTATTTTTCTAAAATGAAGGACATTTTTAAGTCTTATTATTTCTATTAGATTAAAAAATATATTTATCCATCTCTTTATATAGCTACACACGTAGTCCTAGTGGATACCTCACTGCTTAACCCCTGCCTACAGGAAAGTAGAAACGGTTTCATGGTTTTGACAGGTCTATTGTTCCGCATCTTCAAGTTATATAATTACCTGCTTATAAAGTCTGCAAGAAAGAAAAATTATTTATTTTAAAACTCTTCAAAAGTATTTCCTCTTAATTTGTATTATACAACATATAAATTATGAATAAACATTGAAGCTTTGAATTTTGAAGAAAATATTAGGTATTAAGTTTATTTGTAAGATATTTACATGATTGACAAAAAATTACTGGACAAAAATAAACTTTAGTTGAAATCTAAAAATTGCTTTTGTCTACTTCATTCTTTTCCTGCTAAATCATGGAAACTTGCTGCCCTTAGCAATGAATAACTTGATTTTATCACAGTTGCACAAAAAGTACTAAATACAAAACTTATTAATGTCATAAGTTCGTTTCTTTAGAATCAATTCAATTTAATTCTATCCATAGCATTAACATCTCTTCAGAAGGAAATATCAATGAAAATTATTGATCTTTTGACAAAATCTATGTCATGGAGTACATGTTATTTAATTGTTCACTCTTATTAAATAAGCCTTCAAATTGTATTATGTAGCTTAGGAATTTAAACCTAAGTGATATCTAAAATCGGAATAAAATTTTTAGTTATTATTATAACATATGAAGTGGGAAGAAAGTATGTAGCACCTAAACACCAAAAAACAAGAATATAGTGTGTATTGCCTATTTATGAATTTAAAAGGATGCAATATCCATGTCTGTAAACCTACTCTTCCCTACTATCACAGCCCACAATATCACTGTCTTTTCTGTACTTTTGACCTCAG